AATTTACGATGATTTACGGTATTGAGCGCACAAGGTAGGTGTAAAGAAACAACCGTTCATGCAGTTGATCTAATTACTTCAAGTTTAGTGTAAAAACGCACGATCGCACCCGGTTCACCTAATGCATTCCAGCCTGGATTTTTTTTGCATTCATATTTTTTGCTTATCACGGAATATTACTGCAAACAGTGATAAATGCTGGCTTTGCGTATTAGCTCGGAAATATTTTTGCCAGCTGATATATTTTGCAAAGTTGACTTTAAACCGCAGTTAGCTCGAAGATGTAAATTGCTCTGGGGATTTAGTCATTTTCCATCTCTTTTTTTATTCCTAGGATCAAAAAGGAACAGGAAAGAAAAAAATTGCTCGCTTAGATTTTTACATCCCAAAGGATTGTAAGCTTAAAATGACTTTCCTGACGACACAGCATCTCATTACTGATAGATTAACGCCCACTCTTAGAACTCCGTTTAATTGCTTGCATTTGTAAGCGCCAATAAAATTTTGCTTCAATGCGAAATATGCAAATTATAGGTTCCAAGCACATCTTAATTTCAATCTGCCAGAACTTGTGGCACGAAGTTCTGTCAAACTAAGGACTTTAGATCGTGCCGTAATCAGCCCAGTAAATTAATGTTGGATGAATTATAGGTTCGGGCACTTCTCTCCGAAAGTTTTACTTTCCTAACCTGTATCGTCGCAGAGTTGAAAGTACGCAACGAGCGTGCAAGCATAGCTAATTTTTTCTTTTTTTTTTGGGCACACATTAAATGTATAAACACAGGAGTTTTGCTTCTGCATAGGTATATAAAAGTTAAGGATTTGCCTTAAGCTTAGAAATACACAAAAAAGAAAGAAAAACAGAATAGTTAAGAGAAATTAAAGGATTAAACAAACCGTTGATGTTTCCCAGGGGGCGTATGCAATAATACGCTGCATTGTGGCATTACTCAACGGAATGCCGGTATCGATATCGACCCCGTGAATCAGAAATACAGGCAGCATATAGAGTATAATCATGCAGCTGGCAATGGCTGTTGCAAACATAAGCTTCGTTGTGCGGATATTCTCCTTCAGTTGATACCTCACACTCAATAAACTTCGCAAATGAGCGGATACTGTTCGCTAGAATCATCAAGTACTTTTGTTGCTAACCATCGCTGGTTGTATATCAAGAGCATCCAAGCAAACAGTGTAGATATCTCATGTTAGTGATATCACTGAAATACTCCCACACGCCAGATCTCTGACTTATTCAGTTGAAAAAGTAAGAAGACGTGACCTTTAACTTTGCGCCTAGATCAGGGCAAATTTTAAAATCCGAAGACAAGACGTCAAATATTTTAACTTTTAAAAACAAGATTTAGCCTGCAAGTTGTATTTAGATCACACTGAATACAGGGTTGCAGCCGCACCTTGTCCGGTAAGTAAAAAAACCATTTCGCTACAAATGTCTTTGAAGAGCCTTAAGCCGCTGCGCACTTCCAAATCGAAATCCGATTTAGGTAGGTATGCGGTAGCCCAGACGAACGACAAATATCCTGACAAATTTTCAGCTAGTGTTCTTCGGGTAGTCCTTGCGTTGGCGTAGTGCCATCTGCGAACTTTGACAAAACTGTGGGCGTGCGCAATAATTGAATTTGAAATCTTTAGCTTCCACAAGGACAGGGAATACCGATGTGAAATTTCAGCTTTCTGGCTTGTTTGATTCTCGAAATCGTTTTCCCGCTATAAACATTTTCATAATTTTTTCGGCGTTAGTGCATGAGTTTCAAATGCGCTTTATCGATGACATCAGTTTGAAATAATGACATACTTCGAAAATTTCAGCCTTCTACCTTTCCTAGTTGCTGAGTTGAAAGTTGGTGACAACGTTCGTTCGTTCACATACACACATACATAAGCAGACAGACAGCTCGCTCCTTAACAATATGCCTTTTTGCTCACTGTAACAGCGCCACAGCGCTACACAGTAAAAGCACATAAAAAACAAACAACGAGACTGTACCAAATTGAAATTTTTTATGATCCAGTCAAAAGAAAACCTCAAATTTAATTTTCTTCAAAATATTCAAAATCAGCAGTATTGCATGGACAGTGAACAACAGAAGACAAGTAGCACCCACTGATATCGTCGTAGCTTTTCCACTTCCGTAACTGAATAACGTCTGTGAACAAAACGGTAATTTCACGGACGTCTGACGTCTTTCTAGCAAAACCATTATCACCGGACACAGTGCTATCTGAAACGATTATTATCCTGCAATTTTGCTTGGGATTTAAATTTAATGAGTCATAATTTACATAAATTTTTTTATTCGCAAACGAAAAATTTTCAAAAGTAACAGCTGCTGCAGAGATGCGCACATAAAAGACTACGTTTAAGCGTTTTACGACAAGTAGCTGTAGATATGCTTTAAAAGCGCGAAAATATAGAGATTAGCGCTACTTTGCCAAGATAATTTTCTTCTAGCAATTCGATGCTTAGAAAAGAAGCAGTTAGATATCGTAATTAAACGCTGAATAATATGCCCATAATTAAGATCAGATTTTAGCTTGCACACTTCAAAGTGGCGAAATTAGTGTAACTTAGGGATGGAGAAGCATAGATCCAAATCGTCATAAATCGGATGAAGGCAAAATATGGAAGCTGATTTTTTGTTTTGGGAATTGATGTCTTAGGTCAGAATACAGGCGAAAGAAATAAACAAATACAGGCAAGCACAGTAAAGCACCGTTTCCTATTTAACTCTTCTAGAATCGAGTTTCAAACACACACACACACACGCACATACACACACTTACACACATATATACATGTTCGCAAAAACAAAGCTTGTTAGCCATTATAAAATGTACTTGGCCGTTGAACAACCGCATGCCTGTGTTGCTCACAAGGACCTCAAAATTTATAAACTTTGTGCTTTGTTCGTTTCCGTAATGATTTATTTCGTATTTCGCACGGAAAACTTCTGTATAGGGGTAACGCGTGAAGAAGATTATTCAACACTCATTTTTGTTTTTGTGTGAGAGCATTATACTCGCGTCGAAAAGCTTTCACACGGGAGGCGACGGAGAAGTTCATCGTGGCGAACCGTTGGCACCAGGCCAAGTCACTCAAAATGGTAATAAGACGTTTTTGCAAGAAAAATCATATTGGATAATAATTCACCTGCAGGGCTGTAAGTAGCACTGCAATAAACCTTCTGTTTTTGCTTTCATAAGTTCGAAGTAAAACTGTAGCAATGGATCGCTCAATACCAATGGCTATCGTTGATAGTGTAATGAGAAATTCACCAGTTACGAAAAGCCGTTTTAAATCTATAAATTTCCTTGATCAGCATACCAAAGGAAAATAATTGGCCAGCGCCCTCAACTGCCGATGTGAAGATGCGTTTTTTACGTAGTTCCTTGCAGGTTATTGTCGCTAACTGCAGTGTTTTTTCGATAGGTGCTTCTAGCTAAAAGAATTGAGAGCAACAACCAGGACTTTTAGAAGATGCCCCGTTGAAATTTCAGCTTTCTAGTTTTTCTAATTCTCGAGTTAGCAACTTACTCGCCTAAAATTTTCACTGGCCCGTAAGCAAAAACCACACACGCCTGCGAAATGAACTTGAAATCATTTGATTATGCGTGGACAGAAAAAATCTCCTTATAATTTCAGCCTCCTAGCTTCGTTAGTTTCTAAGTCAGCAACTTATCCGTCAAACGGGCCCGCTTACCTTGGATCTGGACTTGAACTCACTAAGCCCTACGTGGACAGTGAGTATGCCCTTAAAATCTCAGCTTCTCTGGTTCTCGAGTTAGCAACTATTCCGGAAAAAACCTTGACGGGCCTGTACTTGAGAACCACGCACCTCTGAGGGTTGGTTGGAACTTATTAATAACTATGTAGACGGGGAACATCCTTTTAAAATTCCAGTTTCCTAGCTTCTCAGTTTCCCGAGTTAGCAGCTTATCCGCAAAAGTTTTTTGCGGATATGGTCGCTCTTGCCAACGTGGTTTCCACGGGCTTGTACGTGGGAGCCACGTTTGCAAGAGCGACCATTTTGGTGGTAGGGCTCGTAGATGGGTGTAGATTAAGTTACCAAAGCTTCAGCCTTGTAACTTTTGTGGGTCTCGAGATGAGAAATGGGCACAGACGAACACACAGGCACATGCACATGGATAACCCCTCAAAAATATGCGTTTTTGCATTGCGTAGATGCAAAAACCGCATAAAAATCATATCAAGACCACACCGCAATCAAGCGTCAGTAGTACAGTGTACCCTTCTAGAAGATGGAACTATACCAAAACGCATGACCGCACCGCCAAGTCTGGCACTTCGGTAAGGTTTTTTTTTTATCAGCAACTTCCTGCTGAAAAGCGGACGCATGTTTTCCCTTTCAATTTGTTGCTTAACGAAGAAGCAAATCGTGGAGAGGCTGATTATTTCACCCACTAATTCCTTATGTACTTGTAAAATGATTTGATTAAACTGCCAGTGCATTGCACTAACTAGTTTAGTAAGGTTCCTGTTACTTTCTTTGCGCAAAATGCACTTTAAAATGCAGCACTATTTTTAAACGTGGTACAGGAAGTCTGCGAATTACAACCATCAAAACGATCCTTGAGAAAACAACTGAGCTTGTGATAAGAGATGACAAAAATTAACAAAGTCTATATGCCCCATTGACAACATGGTGTAGTGACAAGTAGCTCTACTCTCGTACTGAAGGTTAAGAGTTCTACCCAGTCAGTGAGAAAAATTCATCGACTTCATTGGTTCCGACGGCGAATCGGCATGCTGGCATGTGTTGCGGATTCAAACCCGTCATCAGCTTGCTTGCAAGCAACCCCCGAAAGAGCGAATCTTATCTCCTAGAGGTTGCTACTAGCACTTACTACCATTCGGACTATTTCAAAGTGCCAGCACATCTAAAAATTGAACATAGAGGAGTTTTTTTCTTTGACAGCGCACTGTGATGTCTAGATAATGCCAAAAACTAAGTAGACCTGATAGTTTTAACATTCGTATTTATCATTGATATGGCTTGAGAAACCTGCAAAATACAATTGATCAATCGTACAGTTCTGCTTGCAACTTTTGGGATAGCACAAAGAAAAGTGCCACTTTTCTCGAAGAATTCTTTCCCCTTTCTATCCTTCACAGAAATCACCCACCTCTGCAATGTTGTAGAGAAAAAACAAGACTGCTGCAGCGATGGCGTTGTTCGGCGTAGGCGGCCGACGACAAGACATAACTCGAGAGCCGGACCAATCCTTTAAAATTAAATTTTTTAACAGTTAAGCTTTGCATCGTGCAGATTAACCACACAGTTGTTTTGATTATATCTATAATCAAGAGATAAATTAAATATTATTTTCTGATAGTACGTCTTTATAATATATGCTTTCTTCTGATAAAACTTTTCAACGCCATCGTTCTTGCGACGTTACTTTATGGATGCGAGACGTGGAACCCACTTCACAGAAGAAACAAGCTAACTGTAACGCTGAGATCGATGAAGAGACGAGTGTTGGAGTGTACATACAATAGGGAGATTCAGTTGCGTTCTGGTGTGAAAGATTATATAATAGATGTATATAAGGAAGAGAAGGTGGGCCGGTCACGTGATAGGGATGAGCGACAGCAGGTGGACAGAGCTCTCTACCGATTGGTACCCAAGAGATATAAGAAGGCCAGCTGGAAGCAGCCTATGCGCTGATCCGATCCGCTAACTCGACTGTATGGAGTACTGTGGACGAAACGAGCACAAAACAGAATTCGATGATGTGGCTATTCGCTCAGCAGTCGGACACGATTAAAAGCGAAGTGGAGACAAGGAGCCGTTTCATGTGTATCTTCTGATACTATATCATTATTCTTTTCAAGATACGTTACCCAAAAATAATACACCATAAAATATTATTTTAGAATAAGACTTTCTTCCACAATATTTTTCACAATATTTTAAGATTCTTTTGAGCAGCGTTTCAACAGTCTGGAACGTGAATGCGCCAAGCATGTTGATTTAAAAAGCGAAATCTGAGTGGCGGAAGTGACTTGAAAATCCAGGCATTCTAAACGCTCGCTGTGTATCTCTTTGTGGCCACATGGCATTCATATGCGACGTGAGGATAGGTGACATGCAAAGCATCATTGAGGTAGTTGGGAAAAGTTAAAAAATTTGGATCATGGGTTTGCTGACATCCGGACATTTGTCGATACGAGTTCATCAGCGAGATGAATGAATCTGCTTCTGAAGATGAATCGAGATGAATCTCTTAGACTACCTCACCACCGCTTTCATTCAACAACCAGCACATCACGGTGCTACTAAAATTTTTTTACGATGTGTGTGATCTGCTTCCGAAGGAGTACCAGTATCAAAGCTGAATTCTTTTTATCAAGAGCGCAGACTCGCGAGCAAAATGTGTTCAGACGTCGAAATCGCCCGTGAAAGGTAAATCTCGATGGCAACCCAAATGAACACACAAACTAATACGATTTTATTAATATACCGCAATTAGTAACTGCAAAACTGATGCAGTACATGGTCAGCAACATTCGAGCATTGAAATGAAGCGATTTGATGCGGAAAATTGTAGCCGCTGAGAAAATTGAAATCAGTACACCAACAACAGCCGCCGTTAACTCAAATATCTTCAAAACTCGAACCAGCGACGATCTCACATAAATTGCTTCCACGGCTTCGCAAAGTATATCCTCAGAACTGTAGTGATCCATCAGTTGCTACAAATCTGGCATCCATTCGTATACTATCTTCAACCACTTAAGAAATCATCAACGGAACTCAAACGGCGTACCAGGCGAACCGGTGCGATCATGCGTTTTTGCACCATTTCATGCTGGAACCCCAGCAGCTGGAGTTTGCGACTTACCGTTTTTCGAAGTTCAGGTAGTTAATTGTGCAGCTGCGCGGTGTATCACTTATCTATGTTGGTTTTGGCTACCTAGCAGATCGAAAGTTGCTGGTGCGCCATAAAGGTCCACAGAAGCAACAATCGTTCCTTCTAAACACTGCCTTTGTTGCACTAAAAACGAACTTCGCTAATACTGTGCTATCAGCTATACTGCAAATTTGCTTAATTATGGAGAGCACAGTCCATACGGAAATACAAGAGCCCAAAATGTGCTGTGAAAAGCAGGAGCCTGAAATGAAATTTCTCCAGTTAGCTGAAGCTAACATTTAAAATCAGTCCAGCTCATCTTCGGAGAAATGACGTGATGAAGCAGGACCAATTCTACATCTTTTGGGTTCCACTGATACAGCCAACCACCACCGTAAAAAACCAGTAGCTTAATAAGTGTTCAGGAGCATAAGATTGCCGTTTGATGTATCTAATCATGAGACGTGAGCCACAGATGCACAAACGGGATCGCACATGAACGGATATCTTTGTAAAACTAAAAGAACTCTGATTAGCAAGAAAACTGATGCGCGAGTTAAATGATCGCCAACTGTGCTCCATTTAAATGCTCGAGCGCGAAATCTGAACTTTGAGGATGAATTTGAAATGTAATGGCCATGCATTCTCCAGAAAATCTCAGCTTCTCAGCTCAATAACCTCCCAAAATCGCTTTTTCTCAAAAAATTGTCTGACAATTTCGTGTCCCTGATACAGATGTAAGCAAACGCTCGTTTCATGTGTATATTCTCAAATAAGATTTACATCAGATATTCTCGTTTTTATGCGTTTTTGTCGTGCAGTGCTAGAGCGCTCTGTGTGTATGTATGTGTGTGTTTGTCTGTCTGAGTATTTCCGCTCGCCAACCACGCAAGTTTTGAAGCTGAAATTTTGTCGGTGTGTTCCCCGGTCAAGTGTGGTCGCAGAGCTGCGACACCAATCCTCACGCACAACTGGGCCTCGCGTACGAACAAGTGAAAATTTTGTTGGGAAAACCGCTAATTCTGGAACTAGGAGGCTGAAACTTTAGGGTGATTTTCCCTAGCCACTAATAACTAAAAGACTTCAAACGCGGCTGCTTAGGACTGCGAGAGATTCACGTACGGCGTGTGAAAATTTTGGCGGAAAAACTGCTGATTCAAAAAGCTGAAAGAAAAGTCAGAAAGCTGAAACTTTAAAGGAATCCCTACTCATGTGCGACTAAAAGATTTCAAATTTAATTCTTTTGGTGGAGCCTTTTTCGCGCACCAGCAAATTTCCATTTGTCGCTTTAGTAAACTGATATTTTACAAGTAACATGTCACATAGCTATGCAGTCGGCATCCTGAACTTTGAGGATCAGTATGACAAAAATTCTAGCTGTCGTGATTCCTTACGATCTTGCTACAGCACGAAATAGCGCAAAAACGCATTATCGCCCCGGCCCTCCTGGTGCTTTCCAGCCTGGGTTTACAAGAAATTACTTAGCTTAATTTCCGAGTAGCATCTTGCAAGACATCATGAAATCGCTATTGATACACCAGTGCTCATGATATTCGCGTGGGTTCAAACTGAATTTAAAATCTTTAGCTCGTATAGCGCGCAGGATGTCCCAGTGAAGTTCAAATTCTCATCTTGTCTGATTTCCAAAATCGCTTTTCAACCAAAAAATTTGCATAAATTTATTAAAAATTCTGTAGCAGCGACGCAGGCATAGAAGAACGATTGTCTTAGAGGTGGAGCATCGCACATGAGATGAGAACGTGCTTCAAAGGTTCCAACGTCCTAGCTCAACAACATGCGTTTTTTGCAGCTATGCAATGCGGAAAACGCATGTTAACGAGGAGTTGTCTGCGTGCATGTGTGCCTGTGTGTTCGCATGTACCGATTTTTCATCTCGAGACCTGCAAAAACTATTCTTTTTTTTTTTGGGAAATTAATCTACGTGCATGCACGAAACCTCATCCCCAAAATGAGCACTCTTGCCCGCGTGGTACCCATGTGCGGGGCAGTGAAATTTTTTTCGGGTAAGATGCTCGGGAACCTGAGAAGCTAGAGGACTGGAATTTTAAGAGGATGCTCCCCATCCAAGTATGTGTTAGTGAGCTCAAACCCAGACACCGGATATGCGTAGTACCCACGTACGGGCCCGTGAAAGCTTTTTTCTTGTGAGCTGCTAACTCGGGGACCAGGAAAGCTAGAAAGCTGAAACTTTAAGGGTGTGTCTCCTGACGATTCTGGCGGTCAGTCTTAATTTCTTTAGCTAGAAGCATTTACCGGAAAAACCGGTGCCTATAGCGCCAAAAACTGCGGAGAACTGTGCAAAAAAAGCATCTTCGCACGGGCGGCCCGTGCTTTGGCCAATTGTTACTCACTGTAGCAGTGCATAGAGCTGAACAGCGAAAACGCGTAAAAAACACGCAGAATCCACCAAAACTATCTAATTAACTGAGCGCGTATTCACGAGCCTACCCCATCTTGACCTAATTCTCTAAGGGGTGCCAATTGAAGAACTAGTTGGGTACAAAAGCTGTTTACTTATCATTTCCATTGCCTGGGGTTCCAAAGACTAATTTCCAAATTGTCTATTGAAGATTTTTTGTGCGAGGAGACAGCGACAACTTGAAGCTAAAATCCCAAAATATTAAAATGTTGAGCTTCCAAATTTGTTCATTTTTGAAAAAATGTGCATACAGAAATAAGGATAAACGCTAACCAACCACCGAATTTTGAAAGTTGGCAAATTGTTTTGTAGAGCGCCGTTTACTAAATTCTCGACAGAGTAATCTTTATCCGGAATTGTTAAAACTGTGTAGATTTTAGATTTCAAATGATGGGTCAGAATAGAAGCAACCTAAAAATTTCGAACCGTCTGATCAGTTCTGGGAACTATGCTTTTCGAGTCCCAGATTCTTAGTTTTTATGCGCTTTTGTTGCTTGTTATTCCTGAGTTAAATTATAGGAATACGTGGAGTTGCAACCAGATGCGCTCGCGGATGGGTCGTAATCTACTTATGTACAAGTTGCTGATGGAAAATTACAATTAAAATGAGTTTATTGAAACAGCAGCAACAGAAAGTAAGTTTTCTTGCGCATGCTGCAAGTCATATGGCTATATGAGCATACTGCTCATTAGCAGCAAATGATTGCCCAGAAAAGCGTTAATTTCTTCTCGTAAAAACAGCGAGTAAGCGGTATTCCCTTGCTGATAGTATCTACAGATATTTTCAGGATAACAATCTGTTGATGATAGGCGACAATACGGTGGATATAAAAATGTAGTTTAAGTCAAAAATCGTATTTTTTTAGGAAGCAATGTTAAAAGTCGAATTTTTACGCAAGCTCATCCTTTCACTGCATTCACAGCAACAGAATTTCGAAGTAAACTAGCTCTGGAGCTCAGCAAAAGAGAAAAGTGACAATTAAAGCTCAACCTTGCCTATTCAAATTCAGCGTTCCCGCGCTCTAGAGTCCCGTGAAAGTTTTGGCGGATAAATTGTTATTTCGGAAGCCACGGAAGCCAGGAAGCTGAAATTTTATGGGTGTGTTCCTTGCTCACGCTTGACCTAGAAAATTTAAATTTAACCTTTCTGTGCACAAGGGTAACATATACGGCCTCGTAAATGTTTTTGCGAATAAATTATTATCTCGGCAACCACGAAAAGTTGTAATTTTAGGGCAATGACCCTCTGCTCACGTTCGACCTTGCCTATTCAAATTTAGCTTTCGGGTATCATCTACTGTCCCGTGAAAATTTTGGCGAGGAAGTGATTATCTCGAGAACCATAAAAGCCAGGAAGCTGAAATTTTACGTCAATGCCTTTTATCTACATACAATCCTGCAATTTTAAATTCAACTTTCTGTGCGCCCGAGCCTCACTTAGGGTCCCGTGAAAGTTTCGGCGGAGAAAATTATTATCTTGCCAATCGCGGAAGTTGAGAATCTCAAATTTTTGGGTGATTTCCTCTACAAATGTACGACCTCGCAAATTTGGACTCAGCCTTCACGCACCTTTGGATACCACATATAGCCCTGTGAAAGTTTTGATAGAAAAATTATTATCTCGTGTGGGTGAAATTTTTAGTGGGAAGTTCCGCAACTTAAGAATCAGGCAACACTTTAACTATTTTTGCACAGACCAAAGTGCGTTGCAGTGAAAACCATTAGCAGGCAATCGTTCGGTGAACGGAATTGCACAAAAAGCATGATCTTACCGGCTGCCTTGATGCGCGTCGCTACTTATTTCAAATTCTTTTTGTGGTGTTCAACGAAGGAGCCTGAGTGAAATACTTGAAAGATGATTTTACGTTTTTGGACCCAGTTGTGATTGCACGATACTCTTGTTTTCCTAGCTACAGCATTTGAAAAATACGTGCCCACGAATATGGTTCCATTAGTATATGTTTTTTCTGCGTAAAAGCAAAATAAAAACACATAGAAATTGTTGATTATTAGTCAAAACATTTGTAGAACTATCAAAACATGGTTGACCGTCACTTTATTCCAGATCCATTACGCTTAAGTTCATCCTTGCTTTTACGCGTTGTTGCTTAAAACCCCAAGAATTCTGTAGATCTTGGAAATAAATTCTTTGCTGGTCGCAGGGTTCCACTTTCCAAGTCTGTCGCTTCATTGGTGGAAGGAAACATTGTGCAGAATGCAACATGCGCCGGATCGGAGCACAGATCTGCGGTGAAAAGTAGGCACACAGTGCCCCAAACACAATTGATATAATCGGAAAGTGAAATTCCTGAAATATCCAATCGCATCACAGCAATGGTACTGGTCTTTGAACAAATCACAGTACGTGGGTTATTGAAATTCAGGTGGTCCCAGCA